CGATGTGATCCCCCATTCGCCTTTAGCCTTCTCAGGACTGAGTACTCCCAGTTGTCTCATTCTCTTGTTGTACATCCTTGAAGTCCATCAACATGTGCAATGTGCTGTAATTCTTGAGTCTTATCTGGCAGGCTGTCAGTCTGCTGACAAGGTTTATTGTTACTGGAACAGAGAGGAAGGCCTCCATGTGAAGGCCTCTGGAAGATCAGTGCAGACACTGTTATCTCTGAGAGAAATTAAAGTCTAAACAGAGTGAGCTAACAGGGCTAGCTTCTTTCTTCTGCCTCCTTAGGGACAATTTAAAGTAGGGTTTATGTGGAAGGTTGCTTTTTGAGAGCATGGTTCCCCCTGGCCATGCCAGTGAAGTGGGCACCGAGGTATTTGCCAGCTGCAAAGCAGTCCGTGGCAGGGCATCTGAACCACTGAGAGCTGGCCTTTTGTCCCAGAAGTGGTACTCTGCTGCAGGCTCAGCTTGGAAACCTCAGGTGAAGAGCAGATTTACCATTTGCCCACAAGATGCACATGCCCAATTCTATAGGGATTCCCCTTTGTTATTGATTCCTGAGGCATGATACTTACACAAACCTGACCAGCAAAATCTTCCCTTACCCTTGCTCTATGGCAGGGCATGCAGAACTATTCAAGTGTACAGGCATTGCCTCAGTTTTGGAATACATGCTGATCTGAAAGGGGAAAACAGGCTAGGAGGATATTCTATATAATTACATAGTTTGAAAAATCAGATAGAAAAATTGTGTGGCTTTAAAGGCCAATAGCAAGAGGCAGGATTAGAGAAGGTATTTCAGCCCTGTGAATGCTGCAGTCCCAGACCCCTGCTAATCTTCATTTCACTACCAAGTGCTCCATGCCTGTTCAAATATGGCTCCAAAGGTACTGCACTAGACGCCCAGATCACAGGATTTGCAAATTAGTGGCCTTTGCAAACATTTCTGGTTTAAGATGTTTATGCTATCTTATACACCAAACTTATAGAACAGCTTGATTAAAGGCTGCTGTTTCTATGGCTACCTTAGTAGGGTTTACACATCCTTCAGCTCCACCTGCTCCACCTCCTATCCTTCATCCCCCAACTTCAGTGTCATGGGAAAAACAGAGAAGGCAATCACAAAAAAACCACGGTGCTTTTATTTTCATGATATTACACTGTCTTTCCTTTAAAACAGATGTTGATCTCATGTACTCCATAATAGTGTAAATGAAGCCACCTGAAGTCAGCTCAACAGTGCAGACAACTTCCATCACTACTATTTCAGCTCCAACAGACTCTCTGAGTTTCTTAAGATGGCTTTCCTCCTTTAAAGATTTTCTTCACAATTGTAACAATGGCATGCATTCCACCATCTTGGTTTTGTTGGCTTTAAATGAAAGCTGAGACTCTGGAGCCTGAAATTAGTGATTCTCCTCCCTCAGCAGAGCTGTCTTGAGCACTACCTCAGCTCCAAGGAACACACACTACTGTGAGGAGCAGCATGAGCAAACCATCAGACTGGCTGCATGCATGGAACATTGAGAGAGTCTGACTGCAAGTGAAAGGTGTCTCACTGAAATGCTGGTAAGAAATGGATGATCTTTCACTACCTGGATTTCTCCAGACAAAAGAGATTTCTTTCAGTAAATAGGAGTATAGAACAAGGAGCAAAGCTCTTGATGGTCAGCGACTAGGGAGACAGAGGAGCTCATTTTCATGAAAACAGAACTTAAATGCAGTTGTCCCAGCCCCTCACTACCTATTTTCCCATTTCACAGCATCAGCTCCAGAAGACAGTAGCTAACTTCAGGCACCTGCTCACTCTCACCCTTTCCATGTCCATGTCTAGGTTTTATAGATTTACAGAAGCAGATCTAAAAAAATTCAAATGCCTGGAGGCGAGTCATCAAGATGTATTGGAGAAAGGATGCTGGAAATTCTGCTCCTCTACAGAGCTTAGCCAGATATCTCCAGTCTGCCAGCAGGCCCCTTCAGCCACTGCCATTTGTATAAGCTGGAAACAAGTCTTCTAGCAAGTTTAGGACCTAACGAGCCTCACTTGATTCTTCTAAGATATGGGCAAAAGTAGGTGATGCTGCTGCTCCCATTTTCCCTTTTACGCCAGGAGCCAGAGGTCAACATGCTCAGCAA